GGCTTGGTTGTTAAAAAATGACATCCAAACCACGTGACCAACATCTAATTTCTTGAACCGGAACTGCAATATACACATTTGTCATTGCATAAGTTGTGCAGCAGTGGGGCCAAAGAAGCATAAAATTTTCGAGCGGTTCATATCCGTCTTCGTGAGCACGATTTCCAAATATAACGGCCATCAACTGGTTCTCAGTCAAGATTGTGGATGGAACGATGACGTCATTAAGCAATGACGTATTGAGAGGCAAATTTTCTAAGCAGAGAAATTATGTAGCCTAGAGCAATCTTTTCGACAAAACAGTGTAGCAATTGTTATAGGTGAACTTATTGCATCATGTGCAATGCTTACCTCAATGTTTTCAACTGTAGAATACTCTTAAACGTAGCCCGCCTTCCCCGTCGGAGCACTTGCTAGGTAGGCGTGACAGGTGTCTCAATAACTAAAGTCAGAGTCTGAAGTACAACTTATTTGCTTGCCGTCTATTAGGCTTCATTCTCAGTTCTCTTTGACAAACTTGTCACTGGAATTGAGACTTCGCCATTAAAATTGTACGTGGCATGACCTGACGCACCGCCTCACGTAACGCCTGCGGTAAAATTTATACGCATCAGCCCACCTTTCCTAGGTTTGCTACAACATTGCTTTCTGCTCTAGCGAAAAATTTCAACGTAACGTTATTTTGATAACAGGTGGTTTTCCGAATGATTGAGAAAGCTCAGACCCTGATGGATAATCTCGAGCACCCTATGCCCTTTTGGAAAGAATGCAGGCACACCTGCCCAAAACAATGGACAAGTTCAATCACAAAAGCAGTCATCACCAGCCACAAAATCATCTTCACCATCTGTGCTTGCCGGGGCCTCCGTATAAGCTTGGTCTACGGCTGGATTTGTTATCTTCGACCGCGAAAAAAAGGCGAGGGACCTCAACAGCCAGGGCAGCTGACTTCATAGCAGAATTCCAACCGATGGCAGGCAGCAATGGGGGGGATGACGCCCAGCGCGCAGGTCTCCTCAAAGCCATATCCCCTTATGGAAGCCACGTGTGCGCTTCGAGTCCCACCTCAACCATCATCATAATCTTAACTATAACTTAGGCTTGCTCCACACCAGGTGTTGCTTGGTGAGCGCATTTCGCTGCGTCCCAGCAATTGGTACATACAGGTTTAAACTTGGTTTCTAGGCTGCTTGGAATGGACAGAGCAATATATTGGGCTTCGGGTTGGGCTGAAATTGAAGTGAAGGCCATTGCGCTAATGCTTAGCTAGAGGTATTGGGGAAATATTGCACAACCTAACTGTTTCAAGAAAATTAATGCTGCTTGTTTCATTGTTCATGCTGAGCAAAACAAAACAACAACAGTCATTTTCGGCCGCATCCCAACTCTTGGAGACCGTTTCATGCTCCGACAAGCCGAAGGTTCCAGAGATTCGAAACTCAAGCTTAACAATTTCCAGGCGTTATAACAATGAAATGACATGCATTTCTACCAACATGACACAAACCAACTATTGCGGATTCCAGCCGTCTATATTGCCACTTGCATAGAGAAGCACAACAGTTCGTTCGTTGACTTAGAAGCACCGAAGGCGCAAAATTGTCACTTTTGTTGAACTCATGTGTCTGTCCCTATTTGAACCATAGCTTGTAAATGTTCGTAATTTTCTCGCGAATGAGGCCACACAGAAGTTCGTAACGGAAAATTAGCAGACACTGTCCAGTTGAGCCGCACTTCAAAAAGTTTACCACACAGAAGCATGCTTTGTCGGGCCTACAACATCCTGGGCCGCGTCATTGAAGATGCTGCTGCCCTGCTGTCCCCCTTTGACGCAGTCTGCGCTGGTCGTAAATCCTCCGACCTCGTGCATTGGCCCGATGGACTGCTTGCTGTCTTCACTGCAGGTGAGATGGTCCTTCTCGGACACCGTTCGGTGGTGCTGCCCTGTCTTTCGGGCCAGCTCTTGGTCACCACCAATGACAGCAACCAGCTGCACGGCATTGGAGTCACCCTGTGCCTCACGCGTGATGACTGCACTTTGCTGGCTGGTTGCTTTAATGCCCAAGTTCGAAGACACAAGGTCACCCGATTGCCTTAATGGGAAATTGAGGCTTGCGTTCTCAGTTGCCGTAAAATATCTCCCCCCCCCCCCCCCCCACCATACACCACGGCAGTCCATGCCACCTCTCTGTCCCCGCGGACAGCTAGCCGTACGTACAGGCCCACGACAAGCTGTGTTGGGGTGAGTGTTCTGCTAGGTTAACGAGTCACTACCTTCCTGGCTACGGGCAGTCGGTACCCTGTGTCTGTCCGACACCTCTCTGATTCAGCGAATCTTCCGTCGGATTTTGCTAGCCGGAATGCTCCGGCCTGCACTGAACCACATATTTTTTTTGTCACACTTGGAGGACGATCCTGTTCGTCGCATCGCCGTCAATGACGTCATGTCGGGCTTCTCCCGCCTCCCATTCACTGGGCGGAACTTTTAGCTTCAGTCTCAGCAGGACAGCACCGACATGCTCCGCACCAAGGCTCACCTATCACGGGCCCAGCAGGAATGCGCTGACCTGTTCCGCACCAAGGCTCGCCCATCACAAGCTCAGCAGGACTGCGCTGGCCTGCGCCACACCAAGGTTTGCCCATCACAGGTTCAGCAGGATTGCGCTAACTGTTCCGCACCAAGGCTCACCTTCCACGGGCTCAGTAGAACTGCACCGACCTGCGCCGCACCGAGGCTTACCTATCCCAGGCTCAGTAGGACTGCACCAACCTGCACCGCACAGAGGCTTACCTATCACAGGGCGCATGTCTTTCTGGCAAGAAACCAAAATTCGTAATCGCGCTACATCCACGTGGCGTCTATTTCTTAGAGCGGTATGCTTGTCGTTCGCCGTGATCAGCCGTTTGGTCTGTCCCCGGAGTGTGTCACTGATCATCGCCAAGTTGCCCCCGGTATCCTTTGCGCACTCAATATGTCAGCGGTGGATCCAAAGGCGGGGGGGGGGGGGGGGTACGAGGCCATGCCACTCTGGCCCAAAAGGGGCATATAGGCTCCGAAGAGGCCATAGCCGGCGGAACAGATGCAGCTTTTTTACACAAAACGCAATAAAACTGGACGTCTTTGGGCTTCTAGGTGATCAAGAACAGTCGCAAGCAAAAGTGGAGAGCCACGAGTAGACAAAAGCTATTTGTCACTGATTGAGAGGGTGGTGATTCAAAGGCTTTAAGGCTAATTAGGCTGTCCAGAGGCCCTACGTTTCCAGAGGTTTACAGATTCCTTCCATTCACCCGAAAGACTCAATACGCTATAACCGGCGGCCCCATCTGTTAACCTGCCATAGTATTCTCAGTTGCGCAGTGCCCCCCCCCCCCCATACACACACATTGGTCTCAGTTAACTCACCGACACACTTACGATATGCTCGTGGGTTCTCTACGTTGGCCTAGGGCTCTCACCCTTCGTTTTCACCTGTCTAGGGTGCCACGCTCTTGTCGGGGGCCCATCTGTTAAACTGCTTGGGTACACTTGGTCGTTGGGGGCCCTTCAGATTGAATCTTGGACACTTAACATCTGAATGGAAGGCACTACGCACTTGTCGTGGGCCCCACCTGTTAACTTCCTCTGGCACACTTGATTGCTCACGGGCCTTGCACATTGGGTTTTGGTATTCGAGTGTAGAAATGTAGGCCCTACGCTCCTGTCGTGGGCCATCTGAGAGCCTCTTTGGGTACACTCGATCCTTACGCGGAAGAAAAAAAAACAGAGATTAGACCAGGCGTATTATATTTACAGCCGTTTAGGTTGTCCGCTGGACAGTTGAACATTTACAGCATCACGAAAAATAAAAATCCTACCTTTGCTCTTCAATTCTACCACTGGATGCCAGCAACATTTCGTAGTGAGTGTGCTGTGCCGTAAAAACCAATCCGTTTTATCATCAATCTAAAAATCACACCGGTGAAATCAATGCTGGCCCTAACTTCTAAACGTACGCTTTGATGTCCTAGAGCGTTCAAAGATACTTCTTTCAGATGCATAGTTGTTTTCGTTCACCCTTTGGCCACGGCCTAGTGTTATCCACGGGACTGACGCTGCGCGATCTATGGAGACTACAACACATGACTTCGATGTTTTTTGTTGGAATGGTTTGTGAGTGCGCATGTTCAAAATAACGCGACATAAGTTGTACCAATCATAGATTCTGACTCAATGCTGATCATTTCCAGAAAAAGTGGCTTGGCCATGCTAAAACGAATGGCTAGCCCATTTCGACCTACCTGTAACTTGTATTCGCGGTTTCCTTATATCTCTGTAGAGCCCATAAAAAAGCTTGACGAAGCTTCTAAGTTACGTCGGCTTAAAAAAGCCCACTGGACCGTTTGAAAATGCAGGGACGTCTGCGATTCATCCAATGCCATCGCTTAACGTATGATTCCTTCAGCTTATTAACTACGAACTTCAGGCAGAACGCATCTCGCGGTAGCTTCAGGCTTCAATTCCAGTCATATAATGAGGAATGCAGATATCAAGGAAATGCATTCTCTCACTAGAAAATGGCCAGATTCGGCGATTTTTGGGAGGAGCCCCGTCACTAGCAGGGCCCTTTGTCAGCCATGTGCACCCCACCCCCGCCCGTCGCACTGTGCGCGGGACAAAGAAAGTAATCACGCCAGTCTGGCTTGGAGCTGGCGCACGATTTACTGTCCCTTGCGACAGATGTGTTTAAGCGTTTGATGGTGGCGTTGCGCGAGGGCTGATATCGGCCACGCGGTTTGTCTGTGATTTGCGTCTGCTCATCTGTGTGTCGCTGTGCCACAAATATAGGATTACCTTCACCGGACCGAGTCTCCATTTTATACAGGATATTATGTACATGAACTGCGTTGTACGGGTCTGTTGGAAATGACGTCATCAACAGCTGGTATGTATTAGAGAATGTATACCTTATGGACAAACTGCGCCACATTCAGGAACTTGACGCTCAGAAACGCCGGTAAAGCGTTGTGCGTGTTGTGCGTGGGGTAATGTAAGCTGGTTGGCACTGCCGTGGATCGCGACTGGTGCTGTGAAGCGCGTCGGGCTCTTAGGTTGGTGTGCGAGTTGCGAAGAATGGTGGTAGAATACAGTATTGATAGGTGGAAGGCGTGATCATCTGAACACGTTGTATCAATGCTCATTATGCGGGCGGGTGTAATTTAAGGACAAGGTTGTGTCTGTGGTTGCGGATGGAAGGACGCTTGGTAGTCAGCATACTGGTTGGGAAAAGACCGTTAGTTACTACATGGCTTTGTTTCTGTGTTAAGTATTCTGTGGAATGATATTGTGTTTCTAGTGCAAGTAGCTATCATGTGCATCCAGGTCATGGAAATCCACATGCATTTTTTAAGCAGCTCATGTTATTTTCCAGCATGCATCTTAGAGAATACACATTTTGTCTGCTTTCTCATGACTCCCCATGTAATACACTGCACATTGTTGTATGCACATGTATGAGCAGTAGATTTTCTTGAAGCACCGCCCTGATGGCTATCATTTGTTGCTTGCGATATCAGTTTGTTTAGTGTTGTACCAAGTTACTAAGCCTTCCATGATTGCAGTGTACTGACTACCTAAGCATTTTAATCTAAATCATTATCAGTAAGGCCAATATTGTGATATGAAGGAGCATGTTTTAACCTCTCCCCACTCATCTTGAAACATATGTGCTGGCACCTCTGGCAGACATTTTTTGCTTTGATGTGTAGCATTACAATGCTCTAGCTGAAGCATGCATGCAAAAGTGCTGTTGTGATTTGAGTGTCATATTTAGGTGTCCAAACACCCAACAGAGCAAACTTAATGTGGAAAATTGTGAAACACGTGTTGGATACTTTGGCATGAAGAACAAATGCCTGATGAGCTGGTAGGTGCCATATGAGTCAGGAGATGTTGGAACTTTTCAGTTTGACTTGAAATGTTTTGGGGACTCCAGTTGGTCTAACAGCATTTTGTTTCAGGCCATGCAACCAGGCTGTCTCTCAGAGTGAATACAAATACACAAGCACTGGAAAGAAATATTTGATTTGAAGGGTCTGGAAATTGCATGCTAGTCTAGTAAGTTAAAGGCATTGCTATAATACAGCTGCACCATGAATGCACCACCATCATTTGAATCATTCCTGCTGTTTGATGGTGAGAAGAAGATTGTGCGGGAGCAGGACACAAAGGTGCCAAATGCTGCCATCTACACCTTCAACAAGGAGGACCACACACTGGGAAACATGATCCGCAACCAGCTTCTCAAGGACCCCAACATCATATTTGCGGGCTACAAGAACCCGCACCCGTTGGAGTCGAAGGTCATCCTGCGCATCCAGACGACGTCTGACTACACCCCTGACGAGGCGCTCATGAACGCCATCACGGACCTGCTCTCGGAGCTCAGCCTGCTAGAGGAGCGGTTCGAAGTGGCAGCGCGGCACTTCAAGAGCGACCGACTCTAGTGGACCTGCGGCCGACGATCCGGCGAAACGTTCATTCCCCGTAGGCGGCGCGGCGCGTCAGAGCGGCTGTCGGCGGCGTGCTGACGGCCCAGCCGCCGCTCGTGGGCGGTGCGGCGCTCGACGGCCGGGCCTCGACACCGTGCGGACCGGAGTGACCGGAGTGTCGGGACGTGTATGACACTAGGCTGGGGCCTTCCGCAGTCTCCGGACGACGGCCACGCTGAGAGGAGCGGCGTGACGACGGAGGCGCAGCATTACCGACAGGACGGACACGTGGCACGCCTAGGTCGTCCGTAGCCTCTTGCATGGTGGGCTCTGTGTGGGAGCGTGCCAGCAGATCATTTGTGTTCCCCATGGGTCGGTGCCCAATGCGCTTTACGGCGTGCCTGTAGCCACTTCATACATTGTCTGATTCTTTTCTCGGCGATGAGGGGCGTTGCGATCATTATTTGTCGTCGGAAGCATTCTGAAGCGTGTTTTATGGGTTCATTTGTCGATACAAGGTGCCTCCATCATGAGTTATAGACCATTCACGTACTTCGTTACCCCCAAATTTAAAGAAAGCGACACGTCGCAACTGTGTTCGGAACCTTTCAATCCCCGGCAGTACATGCCACATTTATCAAACCTTTCGCCCCTCAGCTGAAAGGAGTGTGTACCTGTATGGGGGTGGTCACCCATTAGCGGGACGTTATGCCATCACTGCGTATTGATGCCCACAATCAGTGATGCACTGTGCGTACCGTATCGAAAAGAATGAAGACAGTCATGCTGCTCTGCTTCGTCACTACCATATTGAACGACATTGATACTGAAGATATGTAAATCATAAGGACATGACAGGATCCATTAGAATCATGCAAGGCTAAATGATAGACTTATTAGCTATAGGGACAGGCTTATTAAATATAGCGACATCATTTATTAGAATTATAACAGGCCAAATGGCCACATTTCTGGGTGTGACAATGAATCAAACAGTCTCCATTCAGCATTCCAGGGCATCGAAAGGGAACTGAAGATCCCATTCATGTGCTGTGCACTGGGGGAGGGGGAGGGGGCACCTGGCACCGCAGCACAACGCATAGATAGAAAACAATCCAACCCTCGGATCGTCATGACCAGCACAATGATAACGACCGTGCGCATGCGACGCAGGGTAAGCCGGAACCCGTCCTTCAGCGGCATGTCGGAAATGGGGTAATCCAGTGCTGCTCTAAAACCGACGTCATCCACGTATGATGCTGACGCATTCAGTTGCAGATGAAAGGACTGCGGCAGTCCGGCTCGTGGTCCGATCCGTCAAGCGCTCTGTATCACGCTGCACACGAGCCTACCGGCGCAACGTTCTCCAGGCGTGCTGCGCGGATGCGGGCCGCCGGGCCGCCATCAAGCCCCGCCACCGAACTGCGCCATCTCACCGTGCACGGCAAGAAGCCGTCCCGCACGAGACGCGTCAGCACTGCCGACACCGACGTTCAGGTGTGGACGGCACTACGGCGGCTCGGGCTTGATCCAGGCGGGTGGCGCTGCGGACCAGTCCGCGGGCGAGGTCGGCTCGGTCTTGAGCGGGCTGCCGAGCCCGGGCGCCGCCGGCGACCAGTCTCCGATCGCGGACGCCCAGACGTCGTCAGAGGCGGCAGGGGAGACGCCGCCGTACGCCGCGACCTGGCCCGGCTGCAGGTCGAGGCAGGCCGTCATCCAGCCGACCGACGTCTGGCCCGCCCCGGCCGCCCCGCCGGCGCCATCCGGCCCGGGCGCCACTCGCTGAGGAGGCCACGTCCAGGCTGGCTCTGCGGAGGCGCAGAGCGGCTCTGCGGAGGCGCAGAGCGGCTCTGCCGCGAGGCGCAGGTCACTGCGCGCCGGAGATAGGCCGTCGCCGACAGGTCTCAGCCCAAGCGGGTCCGGCGCCGCCTCGCCGTCTACGAGAGGATCGCCTGGGTGCGCGCCGGCCGCCAAACGGGCGGGGTCGAGCCTCACGAAATGCACTTCGAGCGCGCCGGACTTCCCTGACCTCCTGAGCACGGCTTGCACGGCCAGAGCCGCCGACCCGTCTGACTGCTTCACCAACATCCTCGGCACAGGGCGAGCATGTATGGGCAAGCACAGTCCATCATGGTCCCCTGGTGTAACCGGGGCGCCGTTACCCGACCCTGGGGTGGTAGCCACTTGCGCCACAGAAAGCAATGCTTCCGGATAAATTCTGGTTATACGGCGCCGAAGCGTCGCGGACAGTTCCTCGCGTTTTTCCAAAGCCTTTGGCTTCTTCGTCCTTGGTGATGAATTCGACCGCCCTAGCATACACTCGGCGAGGTTGATCGCGGCCTCCCGATTCTGCCGTCCGGGCTTCTTTTCCAACGGCGCGCGCTTGTTCCGCCTTGGGCCGGGCTTCCGTCTGAACGAGGCTCGTCCGACCTGCGGGCTCGGGGCATCCCTGGCGGCGCTTGGCGAGCACTGGCGGCGGCTGCTGTTCCACCCAGAGCGCGGTGCGAGCACGAGCAGCCGGCTCGAGCGACGCCGCGCCCCGCCGGCCGACGGGCCCGGCGTGACGCTCGGCTCTCCGTCCTGAACGTCGCCATGTTTCGTCTGCATCCTCCTCCGCAACGGCGGGCGGCTCAGGATCGACAGCACCAGCGAAGCCCGTCTCTGAGTACGCTATGGTTTCGGAGATGGTGTCGTCCTCAGCGGAAGAGTACGTTAAGTTTGTGGCGTTGTCCGAGATGGTGGTGGCGCGAGCATCGTTTGTCTCTTCGAACTGCCGACAGGTGGCGGCAGCTGTCTGCAGAGGAATGAACATTCAAACAGAAAACAGCTAGGCAGAACAGAATGTTGGGCGACGCGCCCAGTGGTCGACTGTCGGCCTCACAGGGTACGCAAAATATTTCAGAGACCTGGCTAACCCATCACTGACAGAGATCATGCGTAGCCGTCAATGAAACGTTGACCAGAGATGCGTATTTAATGTGCGGGCGTTATACTGCATCGCTTGATAGTGTTGGCACACTGCACCATTCATTCCATGGCCTGGTGTAATACGGCCTCGCGACCCGCACTCCAAACACTGACCTTGCGACCGATAATGAACTCGATGAGCACACGCACGCGGAGCGCCCGCGTCATCAAGTCGTCCCAATCGCGCACAAGCTTGGCGCATGCGGCGCAGACGCGGGCTCGAGGTAAGATCGCGTGGCCCATGGCGATCAGCCGGTCGGCGAGCGTGAGCCCGGAGTGTTCCAGTTCGGCGTCGGCGCGCAGTCTGGCGCAGGGTTCATCGCACAGCCAGCACGGCGTGCTGGAGCGCGGCGCCGCAGTTAGCGAGTCGCCGGTGCTGGGCTCGCGCAGAGGTGGTGAGGTCGGAGCTGGCGAACACAACGGACGCCGGGTCAGCGCTGATCTCAGCTGGGAGAAGTGCATCGAGATGCATCAGGCGTCAGAGACGACGGTGCAGGGCTTAACAGCGCAAAATAGCCGTCGCCAAGACCCGAGTCACGTCGTTTTTCGCGATAGTCGGCCTAATGCAACTGTTCAGTTGCATCAGGTTTAGAAACAGCCAACAACTACCAAACGCTAATTCGTGAAAAGTTTGGTCACGATCTGATGACAAATCAGGGATTTGTCCACACACCGTAATGCTAGAAACGCAAGGGAGACGATGTAGCTTGTGGGAAAAAGATTTAAGCTAGTATGAGCTTGGGTCGAGCTCTCGGCTCCGCTACCCGCCAGACCGGTGCGGCCTTGGGCCGGGCCGTCAGTTAGCCATGGCTGGGCGGGAAGGTAGTCACGGCACGATGGGTGCTCGACAGCTTGATGATATTTGGTTGCCGATCGTACAATCGATGGCTTACAGTTTCAATTATGTACGACTGCTAAGAGCTTTGCATCCCACACTAGCATCAATATATTGGTGGTGTAAGTCGTAGTTCGGGGACTATTTCTGCAATGTTTTCCGTAGCAGGTGAGGTGAGAAAGAGTCGGTTAACCGATAGTTTTTAAAATGCACATTTGGGCGACCTCGTTTGTTTTTAGAAGATTGCACCTGCGTCACCCTGCTCAGGGGTTTAAGCAAAACAGTTTTTCACTTTGGCTGGCCTTGACAGAGCGGAAAACCGTGAATCCAAAGGCAGCTTTCCAACATCCAACGGTTGACAACCATGCTGGACTATCTCACAAATGCCCTTTTTGGCCCACAGCCTTACTTCCCTAGCCTTTCCGAGAAAACAGGCTCTTGCCATCCCACTTCTTAACATTTTTTAGACATGATTTACTTTCCATGCATGGTATTTAAAGGCTGTACTGCTGCCAATTTAGTCTATGCTATACGCCGTGTTTTTGGGCACGCTCAACGACTGAGATTCCTTCGACGCAAGGGAATCAAACGTACCGATGTATCTCCCGCATTATGTGGGACAAATGCATATTGCAATCAGGAGTTGGGCACAGAAAATACCACAAGCAATAGGATAACTCATATAAATACCACTCCGCTACCTACCGCAAGATTCATACACAGCGCACGATATATACAAAGCTGGATTGGGCTGCAAAAATGGCTAGTAAAAGAAAAACTCCGTACTCTTGCAAAGCGCTTCGGTGCACAACGATTCGTCTTATTTATCCTTAATTCTGGAATTTTAATCGCGACCTAATGCAGTGCAATAGCACAGCATAGTCTTGTATTTCTGACATTAGTTGAACATACATTAGACATACAAAAGTCGAGGTTAACATGGCGGATACGTGACAAATATAAAGACATACATGGTCTTGTTCACATTCTTTTAAGAGATCGAACGATGTTGGATTTGGGATTGTATCGAACATTCTTCGGAGAGCATTTTCACAGTTTACTCGGCTTAGGATCAGAACTGTTTTGAAAATCCCCAAATATTACACCACTAGTGAGCACTGCTAGCATATATAACAGAACAAAAACTCCCCTTCTTGCCAGACATTGACGTGTTAGCATAGCGCCCAGCATATGGCAAGCGTCGGCACCCCGCCGCCGGAAACGAAACTTGTACCTGCTCTGCACAGCACGGATCAGGGAGTAAGCGGGGCCTCATCAAAGTTCATGGGCTGTTACAGGCTTCTGTTACTTTCCCTACCTCAACGCTTTTTGCTGTAGCATTTCATGCGATGCTGAAAAACCTGAGTCACTATTCTCTGCATCGATGCATATGACGTAATAGTTTCAACCCATTCACGCTCTACAGCTCCGATGACTTACTTCGAAAGTCACATCCAGTTAAGTACTGGTGACGCGTTTCTGACGATGAAAGTGTTGATTCCTGGCCATTGACCTTTCCCTGTCTGAAAGCGGCATGCAGCCGCTGCTTCCTCACCTGGATCAGATGAATGCAATGTTAGACGAAGTCCCTAGAATCACAACTTACCAACACCACATACCAACCACTGCCGGGGGCACCTCTCCATGTCACCCTTCCAACAACATCGGCTCATGTTATACTGATACCAGCTCACGAGCCCCAAAACAGGTACCAGCGAAAAAACTGCGAAAGGTATTTGGAATGGAGGACAGTGCAGATTTACAGGGCTTGGTCCTGCTGAGAATACCTTAATTAAAGGAAAAACACCTGAGGCTCTTTGTTTAGTCCTAGCTCACTACTAGCAGTTCGTAACGCTAGTCGCTTCTGAAGTTGTTCTTTCAAAGCAATCCCTGCTCGCCTCTTTACCCTGCACATTTTTTTATGCCCGCTACGCGCGACTTCTTCAGAGCGGGGCGATTTCCACCTGAAGACGGATGGCAGGACTCCTTTCTTCAGCTCCTTCTTCACGCACCTGACACCTGTAGTTAAGGACAAACGCTCTGTACTAATAAGAAATACTTCAGCCCTTAGCATAACCCCTAAGCACTTATCCTTTCACCTGCTACAACAGCCCAGAGCCAGCAAAATAATTCAGCACAACTACACCATTGGTGGATTTGACAAGATGCGGTGTTTATAGCATAAAAAGCATCCTGATCTAAAAATGGGCAAACTGATACTCACATTACACAGAGATAAGGTTACCTAAAAGAAATAGAACAGCTTCGCGTTGCACCGACCAAGTCATAAATTAACGCATACCATAGACATTTCCTTCACGGTAGTCACATGGTAGATAATGGACATGGCAGACTCGGGAGTAGCGGCTTGGATGCCAGGTGGCTTCTCTCTGAACCCGAGCTATCCAAGGTTTCCTCAATTTCTCGTCCTTTGGAAATGCATGACCTCTGCTGTTTTTGAAGCCACCTACAGCGCAATAGGCACCCATCGTGGCTAAAAAATGACTGTGAAGTGCTAACATGGATATAAAAGCACAACGGCACACATTGTTTGCACAATTTCACCCAGAAAAGCACGCAAAACGTGCACTTCACGTTCCACCGCACCGGTCAGCGTGACAATGACCTTGAATGCTGCATCTCAACCGCCGGTGCTGCCACCTACTTGAGATGCGTGCCACTGCTTTTGTCTGCTCCGGGAACATGAACCGTGATGGGATGCTTCCCTCACGCAACATTCTGCGTTCACGGTATGGCTCAAAATCAGCCTCCATGAAGTGGTCACTGCACAGAAGTGCACTCTGAGAGGGCTCCCATGTCCTTCGCTTTTCTCCCTGACGTCTTGTGGCAGCAATCCACTTCCTCAGCAGCCTCGGGTCATGATGAGGGTACCTGGAACAGAAACAAAAATGCATCTTCAAAATGCACCTCATGCACCTTCCACAGCATTTTTTATCCCAGTCTGATTATATCTGGTTCACATTTTGGAAGCATTACACCTAGCAGAGGTGTGATGCACATTATAACCATCTCACATTAATGATCTGAACACTGCCCTGCATTATGGGACGAATGCTTATCATGTACCACAATTGTCATAATACCACAATTTGCCACATTTCTGTTTTTGCCACCATTTTCACCATGGCACAAATACAATTTACAGACATCTTATGAGTTGGAGCGGTAGTTATGTGGCATTCATATGCCATGGCACAGAACATGTCCCTTAGATGAGGTTATGTTTGGTTGTGTATTTGTGCTCCAAAGAAAATGTGTGGCTGTAAGTGGGCTGCAAGCTGGAATTCCATCGCATACCCCCTTGAGACACTAGCAAAGTGACTTGCTAACAAGTTCCAGGTGAATTTGCATGCTTAGGCAGTGTGTGCAGAGCTGAAATTTGCTAATCATCTGTGTGGGCATCTCACTTCCCAGCACGGTCTCAATAAACAGAATCTAGCACAAAAGTCATACAATTTTGATATCAGCAGATACACAGGACATTTGTGAACACCTCTAGCACTTTCATTTAGCTCTATATTCAATATGATGACAATAAAACACATCTTTTCACATACCTGTCAACCATTCAATTCACTAAATCTGTGGTGTGGCAGGCAGTATGCAGGGCCCAATTCAGCAATACCTTTTTTTGGTGTTTTGTACACAATTTTTTACTGTGAGGACTTAGGTCAAAGCCTAAATTCTGGACTCTACCAAGTAAACACAAATTCAGTTGTTAGCTAAGCTTGCAATGGATTACAAAAGGTTGCAAAGATTTCTTAGAGTGCAAAGAGCTAAAATATCCAGGAATTTCAAGATACTGGTTTGAGTCAGTCATTATCCTAAAATCACATGACAAGGACCGATTTTCACTGTATAGCTTAAGTCTTGTCTTGTCCAGCTTAGTCTTGTCCCATGAGTTCTATCAACCATGCAAATAGCCTGCTTATGTGCTATTTTCCACTTCAAAGGAAGCAACTGCAATATCAATGTCATACCAGCACCCCACCACTGCTGAAGAGCGCATGACAGCCTTTCAGAAGTGATAAACATCGATATTGCCCATCATTGAAAGGTATTTTCCAACTGGTTCTTAGATGTTCTGCGTTCCTTTTTTGTTGTTGTTTATTGGAGTTTAGGGGTGCGCCGACTGCGGTGGTCATTTGGCGCCCAGATGTTTTGTATTCCATCTTCCCACATGCCAACATGCATATTTAGTACCCTACAGGTGGATGCTACTGGACTCAGGTGTGATAAAACACCTAGATGATAGTGGGAAAGCACACAGCGTGTCTGAGCAAAAAATTAAAGAGGCAACTTCATATCTCCACCTTGATTACCAACAAAAGCGCATGGTGACAGTCATGGCGCGGACCCGCAAACAACAAGATCATTCATTCATGCACGATCAAGCTAGAAAACACTTACTTGTGGAATGATAAGCAATCTCCATATCTAGGCCGATCACCCTGCCTCTTACTACACCCGAACGCAGAGCAGCTTCTCGTCATCTTCGCCCCACGCGGCACCGCCAAACACCAGCGTATATCAGCTCCGATGGTCGGTAAGCGCCGCAGAACAACGCTTGCCCTTCTGCACCGCTGCCGGGCGGCGCGTTTTGTAAAGTTGAGAAGTTTGTCTAGTCTGTTATAGGTCAATGGTTGCGTACGTCAAACCGCCCACCAAAGCTTGTTCTACGACCAGTGCCAAGACAGAAATTCACAACCAAGCCATTCGCTGGCCAGCCACCTGCAGCTTTTCAGCGCTGCAGCTTTTCAGTTAAACTTAAAATGTTTTTGCGGCTCGAGTTGGTCTAACGGTTTTTTGTTCCAGGCCGTGCAAACAGGTTGTCTCGTAGCGTGAATACAAATACGCAAACACCTGAAGGGAGCATTTGCTTTTGAGTGTCTAGAAATTGCATGATAGTCTAGTGAGTTTCAGCCATTGCTATCATACAACTGCATCATGAATGCGCCACCATAATTCGAATCATTCTTGCTGTTTGACGGTGAGAAGAAGATCGTGCGTGAGCAGGACACAAATGTGCCAAATGCTGCCATCTACACCTTCAACAAGGAGGACCACACACTGGGAAACATGATCCGCAACCAGCTTCTCAAGGACCCCAACGCCATATTTGCGGTGATCCTGCGTACCCAGACGACGTCCGACTACACCCCCGACGAGGCGTTCATGAACACCATCACCGACCTGCTCTCGGAGCTCAGCCTGCTAGAGGAGCGGTTCGAAGTGGCGGCGCGGCACTTCAAGAGCGACCGATTCTAGTGGACCTACGGCCGACGATCCGGCGAATCGTTCATTCCCCGTAGGCGGCGCGGCGCGTCAGAGCGGCTGTCGGCGGCGTGCTGACGGCCCAGCCGCCGCTCGTCGGTGGTGCGGCGCTCGACGGCCGGGCCTCGACACCGTGCGGACCGGAGTGACCGGAGTGTCGGGACGCGTATGACACTAGGCTGGGGCCTTCCGCAGTCTCCGGACGACGGCCACGCTGAGAGGAGCGGCGTGACGACGGAGGCGCGGTATTACCGACAGGACGGACACGTGGCACGCCTGGGTCGTCCGTAGCCTCTTGCGTGGTGGGCTCTGTGTGGGAGCGTGCCGCAGATCATTTGTGCTCCCCATGGATCGGTGCCCAATGCGTTTTGCGGCGTGCCTGTAGCCACTTCATACACTGCCTGATTCTTTTCTTGGCGATGAGGGGCGTTGCGATCATTATTTGACGTCTTAAGCATTCGGAAGCGTGTTTTGGGGTTCATTTGTTGATACAAGGTGCCTCCATCATGAGTTATAGACCATTCACGTACTTCGTGACCCCCAGATTCAAAGAAAGCGACACGTCGCAACTGTGTTCAGAACCTTTCAATCTCCGGCAATACATGCCACATTTATAAAACCTTTCGCCCCGCAGCTGAAAGGAGTGTTTGTATCTGCATGGAGGGTGGCCACCGATTAGCGAGACGCACTCATGCTATCACTGTGTGTTGATGCCCTACAATCAGTGATGCACTGTGCGTACCGTATCGAAAGAAATGAAGACATTCATGCTGATTTGCTTCGTCACTACCATATTGAACAACACTGATACTGAAGATATGTAAATCATAAGGACATGACAGGATCCATTAAAGTCGTACAAGCCTAAATGGTAGAATTATTAGCTATAGGGACAGGCTTATCAAATATAGAGGCTGCATTTATTAGAATTATAAAAGGCCAAATGGCCACATCTCTGGGTGTCCCAATGAGTCAAACAGTCTCCATTCAGCATTCCAGGGCATCGAAAGGGAACTTAAGATCCCATTCATGTGCTTTGTACTGGGGGAGGGGGAGGGGGCACCTGGCACCGCACAACATAGATACGCATAGGTGCATTGCACATGGCACAACGCATCATAGATAGAAAACAGTCCAGCGCTCCGATCGTCATGACCAGCACAATGATGACGACCGTGCGCATGCGACGCAAGGTAAGCTGGAACCCGTCCTTCAGCGGCATGTCGGAAATAGGGCAATCCAGTGCTGCTCTAAAACCGACATCGTCCACGTATGATACTGACGCACTCAGTTGCAGATGAAAGGCCTGCGGCAGTCCGGCTCGTGGTCCGGTTCGTCAAGCGCTCTGTATCACGCTGCACGCGAGCCTGTCGGCGCGGCACTCTCCAGGCGTACTGCGCGGCTGCGGGCCGCCGGGCCGATCAAGCCCCGCCACCGAACACGCCATCCCACCGTGGACGGCAAGAAGCCGTCCCGCACGAGACGCGTCAGCACTGCCGACACCGACGTTCAGGTGTGGACGGCACTACGGCGGCTCGGGCTTGATCCAGGCGGGCGGCGCTGCGGACCAGTCCGCGGGCGAGGTCGGCTCGGTCTTGAGCGGGCTGCCGAGCCCGGGCGCCGCCGGCGACCAGTCTCCGATCGCGGACGCCCAGACGTCGTCGGAGGCGGCAGGGGAGACGCCGCCGTACGCCGCGACCTGGCCCGGCTGCAGGTCGAGGCAGGCCGTCATCCAGCCGACCGACGTCTGGCCCGCCCCGGCCGCCCCGCCGGCGCCATCCGGCCCGGGCGCCACTCGCTGAGGAGGCCACGTCCAGGCTGGCTCTGCGGAGGCGCAGAGCGGCTCTGCCGGCAAGGCGCAGGTCACTGCGCGCCGGAGATAGGCCGTCGCCGACAGGTCTCAGCCCAAGCGGGTCCGGCGCCGCCTCGCCGTCTACGAGAGGATCGCCTGGGTGCGCGCCGGCCGCCAAACGGGCGGGGTCGAGCCTCACGAAATGCACTTCGAGCGCGCCGGACTTCCCTGACCTCCTGAGCACGGCTTGCACGGCCAGAGCCGCCGACCCGTCTGACTGCTTCACCAACATCCTCGGCACAGGGAGAGCATGTATAGGCAAGCACAGTCCATCATGGTCCCCTGGCGTAACCGGGGCGCCGTCACCCGACTCTGGGGTGGTAGCCACTTGCGCCACAGAAGGCAATGCCTCCGGATAAATCCTGGTGATACGGCTCCGAAGTGTCGCGGACAGTTCCTCGCGTTTTTCCAAAGCCTTTGGCTTCTTCGTCCTTGGTGATGAATTCGAACTGCCCTAGCACACACTCGGCGAGGTTGATCGCGGCCTCCCGCTTCTGCCGTCCGGGCTTCTTTTTCAACGGCGCGCGCTTGTTCCGCCTTGGGCCGGGCTTTCGTCTGAACGAGGCTCGCCGGACCTGCGGGCTTGGGGCGTCCCTGGCGGTGCTTGGCGAGCACCGGCGGCGGCTGCTGTTCCACCCAGAGCGCAGCGTGAGCACGAGCAGCCGGCTCGAGCGACGCAGCGCCCCGCCCGCCGACGGGCCCGGCGCGACGCTCGGTTCTCCGTCCTGAACGTCGCCTATTTCGTCTGGGTCCTCCTCCGCAGCGGCAGGCGGCTCAGGATCGACAGCATCAGCGAAGCCCGTCTCTGAGTACGCTATGGTTTCGGAGATGGTGTCGTCCTCAGCGGAAGAGTAGCTGTAGATGGCGCTAGTGTTTACGGGATTTGCAGTCCCGTCCGCGATGGCGTACGTTAAGTTTGTGGCGTTGTCCAAGATGGTGGTGGCGCGAGCATCGTTTGTCTCTTCGACCTGCCGACAGGTGGCGGCAGCTGTCTGCAGAGGAATGAACATTCAATCAGAAAATAGCTAGGCAGAACAGAATGTTGGACGACGTGCCCAGTGATCGACTGTCGGCCTCACATGGTATGCACGATATATCAGAGAACCTGGCTAACCCATCACTGGCAGAGATCATGCGTAGCCGTCAGTAAAACATCTACCAAAGATGCGCATTTAATGGGCGGGCGTTTTATTGCATCGCTTGATAGTGTTGGCATACTGCAACATCCACTCCGTGAAATGATGTAATACGGCCTCGAGATCTACACTGCAAACACTGACCTTGCGACTGATAATGGACTCGATGAGCACACGCACGCGGAGCGCCCGCGTCATCAAGTCGTCCCAATCGCGCACAAGCTTGGCGCAGGCGGCGCAGACGCGGGCTCATGGCGATCAGCCGGTCGGCGAGCGTGAGCCCGGAGTGCTCCAGTTCGGCGTCGGCGCGCAGTCTGGCGCGGGGTTCATCGCACAGGCCGCACGGCGTGCTGGAGCGTGGCACCGCAGTTAGCGAGTCGCCGGTTCTGGGCTCGCGCAGGGGTGGTGAGGTCGGAGCTGGCGAACAATGGACGCCGGGTCAGCGCTGATCTCAGCGGGGAGAAGTGCAGCGAGATGCATCAGGCATCAGAGACGACGGTGCAGGGCTTGACAGCGCAAAATAGCTGCCGCCAAGACCCGAGTCGCGTCGTTTTTCGCGATAGTCGGTCTAATGCAACTGCTCAGTTGCATGCAGGTTTAGAAACAGCCAACAGCTACCAAAGACTAATTCGTGAAAAGATTGGTCATGATCTGATGACAAATCACAGATTTGTGCACAGACCGTAATGCTAGAAACGCAAGGGAGACGGTGTAGTTCGTGGGAAAGAGACTAGAGCTAGGATGGGCTTGGGCCGAACTCTTGGCTCCGCCTCCTGCCAGACCGTGCGGCCTTGGGCCGGGCCGTCAGCTAGCCATGGCTGGGCGGGAAGGTGGTCACGGCATGATGGGTGCTTGACAACTTGATGATATTTTGCTGGCGATCGTACGATCGATCGCTTACAGTTTCAACTATGTACGATTGCTAAGAGCTTTGCTTTCCACTTAAGCATCAAGCTATTGGTTGTGTAAATCGTAATTCAGGGACCATTTCTGCAATGTTTTCCGCAGCAGTGAGGTGAAAAACAATCGGCTGACCAAAAATTTTAAAAAATGCGTAGCTTTCATTACACTTGTGGCACAAAAAGCTGGTGGTCATTTCCCTGCAATAAGCTGTATCACCAGCATAAGTGATGTGAATAGCCCACAATGCTTCATATTTCTGTTAAGCCAGATGTTGGTCACGTGCTCATAGGTGATGACTGGCCAAAGCATGCTTTCAAACATTTGTGTTTTCTTAGTACATCTGTTCAGCTATAACTATTGCGTTCAAGTCATGTTTGCATTACATCAAACTCTATACGACACGGCGTTTTCAACACAACAAAACACGATGGTAACATGATCAATAACTTTACCAGAGGTCTGCATTCTTCGTACAACTCCTGCACACCGCACCACCCAAGTGTGCTCCGTACCCATGCCACACTATGCGGCGCTTCAAATTGCACATAAATGCACAAACAAAAATCAGCTCAGCCGCAAATGGGACTCGGCGTCTGTGTAGTGTACCATGCAGAATTTGTAAGTTCTTTGTAAGTCCAATCAACCACTCCATATGGATGCGCTTTGTGGTGACGTTCCTTGGCATTTACACAGAATGACTTGGCAGCTATGCACGATGCTTCATGTATGCAGGTGTGGCCAGTTTTACATCTCTAAGAGCCAAAATATCCTGCATATTAAACCCCCTATCTGCCATAACAGTGTCAGCAGCATGCAATCTGTCCATAATGCCGCATCTCTCAAAAATCTCTCTCTCACTTGTTGAGCCTGTGCATGCATCCGAACAAAATGTCACAGCTCCGCTGTATGAAATGCCGGGCAGAATTTTACAGGTATTGCCTTTTTGAAGTGGGAGGAGGATGCCTGCTGCTCCCTGAGATTTAAAGAGACCTGAATTTCGCACTCAGTGTAGTCAATGATCACAATAGGTTCATCCTTTGAAATCACTCCGTCACATGGCCAAATATAAATCATTGTAAACCGCCTGTGCATGAAACAGATCCACTTCTGAAACATAGCAGCAACAGCCTGCCTGCTCAGCTCAAACATTATTCTCAGAAAAGCATCAGTCACATTGTGGTGCGGCTTTACAAGCGCCAGAAAGAACTGCTGCTCCGAAGACAGCCCCCTACCTGTTGCCACATCATCGTCAGGTTTGACAATGGATAGCACAAACTTGAAATGCTCCATGTCGTCAAATCCAGTCAGGGCTTTGATTCGCCCTGGTATGTTTGCGCATACATCTACATCAAGCACTCCTGTCACAAAACACGTTTGTGTGGCAGCTTCACAAGGCGCTTTAAATGTGTGCTCATCATCAGAGCTGCCTGTCAGGTCATCCTCATTTACAGTCTTAATCTATACTTCCACAGCAGCTTCAACACATTGCTGATGAGCACTGCTGGAGGCTGCACTGGTTTGGCTCTCACTGAACAAATCTGAAGCTCCGATTCTATTCTGCCCCTGTCTTGATGCCCGCTTGTTCAGCCGTGAAGTTCTGCTGCTATTCGTACTGTCTGATGGTGTCCATTTAAAGATGGATGGAATGGCATTTGCCACCAGCTGATGTCTAGATGTTTTTCCTGACAAATCATTGCCCATAAAATTAATCATTAAGGATTGCACACAACATTTGTGAAGTGCAATAATATCAATGTGTACACTATAGTTGTTTTCATTTTTAGGGAATAAGGCCTATGCTTACACATGTGTATGGTCATCACAGAGCTTGGATGTGATGTTAATGTGAAATTAATATTAATGTTGTACTCCGGGAAGGCAATGATTGGAAAGGGGACAACCTGGCTACCAAGATGCTGCTGAAATAATCACTTTTCTGACCTTGTTTAACTTACCAAAGTGTCCCAGCATAACAAAGTCAGTCTTGGCATTAAAATGGTTCTTGCAAACCACTGAATATTTGCTCGGAATCCAGGGCCTCTTTGTCTTGGGATCTTCCCTCTTAATCGCATTTATCCATGCTTGTCGCAGCTTTTTATCAGCAGGGAACTTGTGACCACCAGGCTCAGTGCAGAAGGGGAAGCAACACTTCATGACAGTTCTTTTACCTGCTGACTGTAAAAAACAATCAAAACTCCTCCACGGATTCCAATCCCGTATACAGAAATGTAAAAACGAGAGGCTATCACCAGACCAGATAGCACTACCAACTCGCACTCCAGTAACGAATCGTGAGAAACTACCAAGGCGATACATACCGAAACTAACATGTAACCAACGTTCGTCACAACTGCGCTACCGACCGATGAACTTCAACGTTTGACCTGCCACCTGTCGGGGAAATTCTTGGAAATATTTAGCGTGGCCCACTAACACGCGCTCGGGTGGGAGGAGTCAAACTGACCTCCCCCGAAGGTTTTTCCGCAATGGTTTTCGAACGGCGCGGCATAGCCGCGCCAAATTTTGCCTAGCTGTTCACAATTGAATAACAAATTGTTTGGTGTAAGAAATTTAGATGTACCTTGTAAGGTCACTGAGCTATGGCAGGTCAAAGTCAGGGCATGGTTTCAGCAAAGTCAATTTCTAAGGAATCGTTCAATCTGATGCAACAACGGAGTGTTTGATGAAGCTATGCATCTTTCAGTGAAAACATACTGTGATGCCTTATTAGGCAACACAAGCATTGAATGAGCAAATTAAGTTGACCTAGGGTCACGTATAAAGGCCAGACCAAGGTCAAAACCAACCTGTTTTATTGCTGTAGGGCTTGCTAGATGGGGTATTTTCCGGAGCCCATTTTGAAGTCATTGATAGCAGGAACCGCATCATACATCTTCATTTGACTTCTTAGAGGTCATAACAGGTCATTGGCCTAAGATGTCTCGAGTCAACATTCTTTAAAAAACATTCTGCCAAGCGTAATCTTTGTCCCTTATTCAAATGTAAAACCCAGGGCAGTCTTGCATGATTTTGGTCACCATGACCTTAAAAAGGTCAAGCAAGGTCATTGGCCTTAAATGAGCTTGTGACCTTTTGCCTAGAAACAGTTGTCTAGGTTCTGGGACACTTTCGAGACCAACCTGAAATTTGACCTTGTTTGACCTTATTTGGCCTGATGGTCATGATCCTCAAACTTTGACCTAAGATCACGTACAGGTCAACACACCTGCTGAGAATACCTTAATTAAGGGAAAACACCTGAAGCCCTCTGTTTAGTCTCACCTCACTACTACCAGTTCCTAACGCTAGCCGCTTATTAAGTTGTTCTTTCAAAGCAATCCCTGCTCGCCTCTTTCCCCTGTACATCTCTTGATGCCGGCTACGTGCAACTTCTTCAGAGCGGGGCGATTTCCACTTGAAGACGCATGGCAGTACACCTTTCTTCAGCTCCTTCTTCAGGCACCTGACACCTGTAGTTAAGGACACCCGCTCTGTACTAACAAGAAGTACTTCAGCTCTTAGCATAACCCACTAGGCATTAAGATGCAAGAACATGCAAAGTTTTGGTGACAAATGTGACTAGAAGGATGACTAAATTGCCGTCTTACATACGTGTGTTACAAAATGCGCTATGCTTTTAATGTGTTAGCATGGGTGAACCCGTCATGCTTTCCTAACCATGACACAAGTTGTTAACCCATCGGTGGATTTAACAAGACGTAGTGCTTATAACATAAAAAGCATCCCGATCTAAGGATGGGTAAATTGATGACACGCATTACACAGAGATAAGACTACCTAAACGAAATAGAGAAGCCTTGCGTTGTAGCGACTAAGTAATAAATTAACGCATACCATAGACATTTTCTTCACGGTAGTCACTTGGCAGAAAATGGGCATGGCAGACTCTGGAGTAGCGGCTAGGATGCCAGGTGGCTACTCCCTGAACCCGAACTATCCAAGCTTTCCTAATTTCTCGTCCTTTGAGAATGCATGACCTCCGCTGTTTTTGCAGCCACTTACAGTGCAAAAGGCACCCATCTTGACTATGAAGTACTAACTTGGATATAAAAGAGCAACGGCACACAATGCTTGCACAATTCCACACAGAAAAGCAAGCAAACGCACACTTCACCCTCCACCACACCAGCCGGCGTGACAATGACCTTGAATGCCGTATCTCAACCGCCAGTGCCGCCACCTACTTGACATGCGGTGATATGCTCAGAGTTACGCGGATGTGACGCTCAGTGGAGAGAAAGGCTTCCAGCGCCCAGCTGTCTCCATCTCCTACCTTTTGGTCGGCAGCGACACCGCTGACGCCTGGCATGTGTGCCTGACAGATCTCAACATGGTAAGAGCGGTACACGTCGCACTGCTGAGTTTGTTAATGCCGTCACCTAGGTCAGTGCACATAAAGTCGCGTATCGAAGCAATGCACTCACTCCTCGCAAATGCGCGCCGCGCCTTGGTAACGGTGATGAGCTCACCTCACAAATGGAAGATGCATGGAAGTCCCGATCGCGGGTGAGCATGGTGAGCACAGGACTGCTCTCGGTCAATCGGAAGCATAGTACTGGCACGACCGTGCGCGCATGCCAATTACTTGGTATTTAAACAGCCTGGGTGCTGGGAAGTTTGGTAACTTTTTTAACGTACTAGATTCGTCGTACTTTGCACGCCATTTCAACTATATTTTATATCCAGTCGCCCGTGAATTCAGATAACCAATTTGCTCTGAATGAAAGTGAATTCCCTGCGGGCAAAACATTACATGAGGGGCGTTGCGGTATGTTCGCTGTGAAATCATGTATATTACGATGATATACATAAATATGTATGTATTACGATTTAAAAAATAAGATCAATTACATACGACCGCTCGTCTCCCGCGGCCGTCCATCATCCATGGACGGCCGCAGCTCCATGTGCCGCAACACATCGCTTTTTCACCTCAGCACATATCTACCCTGCTGCATGCGTAGCGAATCGACCACATCCACTGACTGAAAGAGCTATGGTCACACGGTGGGGGCCGCTAGCTGTTAGCGAATCTCACAGGACACCGGCCAACGTCGGATTCCGCGCCTAACGTCCCAACATTCCTCGGTTATCCCGGCTCAGGCGGGCGGCGCCGGTCGGCGGAACTTCATGTGCGTGGGCGGCAGCGAGTGATCGACGCCCTTGGCGATCTCAGTGCGGCGCGGGTCGTCGTACGCGCTCGTGATACGGGTCTCGCCGGAGCAGCGCCGCTTGCGGCCCGGCCTCCGCTCCAGCCGTTCGCCCACGAAGCCGAAGCCACGCCGGTCCGTCTGGCCGTCGGCCTCCAGCGGCTCGGCGATGCCGCCGGCGCCGGTGCCCAGACCGCGGCCCTCCGTCCAGCCCAGGTTCAACAACACGCGTCGCCCGAAGCCGCGCGTGTGCCGCTCGAACGCACCCACACCGCTGCTGTGTGTATCGTCCGACCGCCTGGCGCCTCCGCTGCCGTCCCGGCGGCGCGTGAACGCGCTCTCGGACTGAGCGCCGTCGCGTAGGCACCGCTCGAGCCGCATCTGGCGCGCCTCGCGGGCGTCCATGTCGCCCGGTCCGGCGCCCGGCTCGTAGACGGCCATGTCCACATCCCAGTCGTCGGCGGTGCGCTCGTCAAAGTCGCCCTGCAGCTGGTCCCAATAGACGGCGTCTGTATACCAGACAAGGCCGGGCCCACCCTTCTCCCAGACCAGCTCGATTTCCTCCTCGTAGAGCCGCTCCTTCGTACGGTCCTGCGACGTCACGTCGTTGTGTAGGCTCTCGTGGCGGTCACATTCTTCGGCGTCCAGCTCGTCGGAGGCTCGCGGCGCGCTAGACTCCGGCCCCAGCTCCGTCCGCGTCTCCGGCCTCGGCGGCCGCATCCGCTCGGACAGGCGGTCCAGCAGCTCGGCGCCGCGTGCCGTCCTCGCCGTCTCCTCACTCGCGGCCTCCTCCTCGTCCTCGGACTGTGTTCCAGTGCCGTAGTCGTGCGGGACGCTGCTGTACTGGCGGCGGCGAGCCGACCGCGGGAACACCAGCCCTAGCCGGCGCACCAGACTGGCCGGCAGCTGGCAGCGCTGGATGGCCTGCAGAAAGACGGCCGTCGGCGTGCCGACATTGCCCCGCGGCATGTCGGCTGGCGGCCGGAACTCGATCATGTCTCGCAGGTCCGCGGCCGCCGCCAGCCGCAGACGCGACACGAAGCAGCGCCTGCTCAGGTAGCAGCCGTCGCTGTCCACCCAGTGCTTTTTGTCGTACAGCCGCACGAACTCGGCCAGGTGCTGCCGGCGGAGCCGGACTGTGGCGCAGCAGGCAGCGTGCGGCCGGCGGCGTGGCGACCCACCCGCAGCGTCAGGCTCCGGCCTGACGCTGGCGGTCGGCGCGAGACTCCCGACCTCGGGCGGCACTTCGCTCTCCCCTGCCACCTCCTGCACCTCGGGCCTGTGCCGGTAATGGAAGCATGTGAAGCCGCCCTTTTCCAAGAACTGTGAAAAGTAATTGCGCAGATCCCTGGAGTGGAATGATTTTGGGATGTTGTGCACGATGCAGACTACATCCGAATCTTCAATATCTGACAGTTTTGAAGATGCAAGCATCTGAAAAAACAGAATTTTGCATTAGACATCTCACTGTGCTAGGGAATTGTTTGGGAGTGGTGTAACAAAATACTGCCTCCATGGAACTGTCTTGGAACACATCATGGAAGTGACCATTGACAACATATCCAGATTTTAGTGACAGTGATTCTTCTAATTGATAAAATTACAGGCCCATCACAATGCCTGAGAAATTACATATATATGATGCAATATGTTTGTTTTTCAACATTCATCTGCAAATTCTGTGACCATATAATGGATTAATTTTTGGAATTAGCATCCATGTTAAGCAGTGTCATGTGAGCCACAGCCCTCACCTGCCAATCATCAAATTTCAGATCAACATTATCATTTTGGACAATTATTCAATATGCAGCAATGCTTGGAACAGTCTGTCCTGGCCCCAGTCATCTGACCTTTAGTGCAGGCACTGACATGAGTCTCAAATCATCCCAGTCAGGGCCAAATGGTGAGATTATTTGAACCTACCCTGTGAAGGGTGGGTGAATCAGAAGCAAGGTGCTCTAACCAACTGAGGCTGCCTCCCCCCACAGCTCAATTGGAGTGTCTGCCTCCCAATCCACTAGTGACAGGGTGCACAGGTGGGTGGGATGGATCCATGCTGCACTAGCATCTGATATTTACCCCTGACCTGGATGACCCATGACCAGTGGGAGAGGCCAGTCAAGGTCAGATGAAGCCTGAGAGCAAAACTGCAAAAAAGACAAAAAATGATTCCATGAATACATCCAAACTGTTTGGAGTAAATGCAAGCCACAGCAAACCAGAGCAAATGGAGTGAGCAGGATTTAAGTACGTGATGACCATGGGACATCCCAGTGAGATAACTGAGGTCATTGGCAAGGACAATGGAACTGTATGCCATTGGAGGAAATCTTACACAGATGAAGAGATTGCACCATTTGCATACTGGTAATACATCCCAGATTGAGCCAGGAAATGTGTTCTTGCCACTTAACTAGTAGGTGCATGCACCACACAGCCCTCACTTTTCAGACTGACAAGTTATGCATCACACTTATAACTGATTTACTCAATTGGATTACATTGACCAAAAAGTTATGAATACCTCCCCATAATGGGGGATAATTGTATTCATATCACAGCTCTTGAATCCCAACAAATTCATAATATACATCTTGCCACTTCTGCACTTCATTGCATCCATTAAGGCCATTTAGAGAAATGCTGTCATAATTAAGACATCTTGCAAATAACCTAATGCACAGGAGCATAAAGAGTAAGTTAAAAGGAGGTAACTCTTTGGTACACTTCCCAACTTGAAAAAAAAACATTGCATTGAGTTATGCCAGTGCACTAGAAAATGACATTTCTATGACAAATTGTACAATCAAACATGTTTCCTTCTTCTTATCATTTTAAGGCTAGGTTGATTTATTAAGCTCCACATAAACATAAAGCAAAACTGATTTACACAATAAAAATGAATTCAAGGCATCAAAACATGACAGAACCAGGAAATTCCTCATATTATAACCTCACCATTTTTTGGTGGCCATAATTAACAGCTTTCAATTCACCACAAAACATGGAAGTCACAAACCTTATCACCACCAATGTTCCCAGGTAACCTATGTCTACTTCCGCTAGTCAGCAAGTCCGACGGCAGCGGTATATGCTTGATTCCAGATTCCGACAATCTCGAACGACCCAATTCTGTGCACAGTTCCTCTAGATGAGTTTACATCAAGGCGATACGTTTGTACGGCGATCCCATCATCCAGATTTGTCTGTACTGCGCCATATTTCGTCTTCAAGATGCTACTCGCTGAAACCGTATTCCTTCCGGCATGTAAGGAAATTCCACTCCAGACAAAAATTTGCCACCAAGCTACCAAAAGAAGAAAGACTTTACCCACGCTCCCAGAACCCTCTGTCGTACACACGATTGACACACAAAACAAATGCGCGTGTCGAGCACGGAAATGGCATGGCTAGTACACCTGGGTCGCATAGGCATATAAGTAGACCCGAACGAGGCACGGGTTCACATCACAAGCAATGTTAGTTGTTTTTTTTTTAACAACACCTTCGGCTCCCGGAGCATACGTCACCTCTAAGAGGGGGAAATGGCACCCAAACAAGGACACGGTGACCGGGGGGGGGGGGGGCAGGGGGCAGCTCACCCCCCCCCCCCCATTTGAAAGCTAGGGTCGTTCCATTTTGGCCTTTCAATGGCTCATTCTGGGCTATTTAGGGTTCCTCCTGACTAAAAAAAGCAATGCTGAGCCTGCAGAGGACCCATCCTGGGCTATAAAGGCCCATTCTGACCTGTACATGGCTCAATATGGCCTATTGGCCAATTGGCCAATCTACCAAATGGCCTAAGATGGAGGGCCCTTTTTGGCCTTAAGAGCGGAGTCATTCTGGCCTCAAGAGGATCCATTCTGGTCTATAGATAGCCCTTTAAGACATTCCTGACCACCATGCCCACTATGACATATAGAAGTTTCATCATTCACTCAGGGGGTTTAACTCAACTGACTTGTAGAGAGGCCACCCTGGCTGTAGAGGCTCACAATCTAACCTAAGAGGGTCACTTTTGGCATCTTTCAGGTTTCCCTCGGCCCAACTTGAAAATAGTTTCCACGCTCATGCGCTCATGTCCCCCTTGGCTACGTCACCGTCGTTGTGAAACATCGCTTTAGGTAAAACAATGTTTTTTCCAGTAACGAAAAAGACCAGGGTATTTGCAAGAATTCGGATGGGATGGCTCAGAGAATATCAGCGCTACAACCACCTTAAAATAAATGTCCCACATTGGAAAACATCGAAGCAGGCATCTGATTGGTGCAATGGGCTCACTTGCAACCATTCGTATTTCGTAAACTTCAAGTGGAAAAGCTTCCAAAAAAAAAAAATGCATATGCATACTAAATCTGCCCCTCAATACGTCGTTGTTTGAATGAGGCGTGGAACGGTTGCATGCCGTTGAGGCACTGTCAACCTGGCCGAGCAAAATTGCGACCCTAGCACGCGCCCGGGTGGCTGGTTGGATACCCTTCGCTCCGGTGGGGGTTAATTCGGCCCCCCTAAAACTGCAGAAACTAAGGGAGCTAGAGACACAAAATTTACAGTGTGTTTGCCTGTACATGAGCTAACTCAGGTCAAAGTTTGAATGTCCTAGAACATAACCTTGGGGTCAGGCAAGGTCAAACAAGGTCAATATCCAGGTTGGTCTTCAAAGTGCCCCCAGAACCTAGATACCTGTTCCTAGGAAAAGGTCATATGATAATTTTAAGTCAGTGAGCTTTTTTGACCTTTCTAAGGTCATCGTGAGCAAAACCACACAAGACGGCTTTGAGTTTTGCATTTGAATAATAGACAAAGACTACGCTAGGCGGTATGTTCCTAAAAGCAAAATTTTGACCTGGATCATTTCAGGTCAGTGACCTATTCTGACCTTTCAGAAGTGCACGGAAGACGTATAATGCGATTCCTATTATCATGAATTCGAAATGAGGTCCAGAAACTACTCCGTACGCCAAGCCCTAGAGTACTAAAACAGGTTGGTGTTGACCTTGGTCTGGCCTTTAAAAGTGACCTTAAGGCAGCTGAGTTCGTTCATCCAATTGTTGTGTTAAGTAGGAAAGTATTTCAGAAATGTATGGTCCCGTCTAACACCCCGTTCATGCATCAGGTTGAACGATTTCCTAGAAATTGACTTCGCAAAATCCATGGCCTTACTTTGACCTGCCGTAGGTCAGCGGCCTTAGAAGGTACATCCAAATTTTTAGTATCAAACCATCCGCTATTTAACTGTCTATAACCATGCAAAATTTGGCGTGGCTGCGCCGCGCCATTCGGAAACCATGTTGGAAAAACCTTTGGGGTTCAATTTGATCCCGCCGAGCGCGTGCTAGCACCCACTTGCAGTACTTCAGTCCCTCGATAGGTGGTGGCGCCGGTGTTGCGTATTTGCTGAACCAAATATCGTTACGTGCTCGTGTTTTGGCCCGTCCTCATAGCGTTCTCGCTTCTTTATCTGTGAGTTTACGGTGTTTGCTTGTATTCGCTTAGTTGTGGCGCTATTCCTAGTTTACTGTATTAAAAGTCTTACTTCCGTACAAGCTGGCTGTCATGTGTAGCTGCTTATATTATGTAGCATACAACGTGATTAGTGAATGGAACTTGCAGTCTGCTCGACAGCGGTTGACTCAATTGGCGTCCATTGTATCTCGAAAGCGTGCTCACGAGCGCTAGATGTGATTGGTTCGACGATTATGTTTTTCTTGGCCATGAACGCCACATCGCCAATGCAGTGGCAGGTTTTCATTAGCGCTAAGCATGCCTGAATGACCTTGAAAAAGCCTGCACGAAACATTCTGCACACCATTGCGGGGGTGTAGCTATACAATAGAGGCTTTCACGTTAAGATTTAAGGAAGGGAGTGCTCAACTCTTGAATGAGGTTTTGAACTAAAATAGCCATCTTGACGATCATTCGTTGCACTTCACAGCCCTGTCATTCCGGAGACCCAAACCACGCCAGTTTCTGAGCTATATGAATGCGAAGACGTGAAGACTATTTCGTGTAGATTATTGAAGGTCACCCATTCATCCATGACGCCATAAAACGTCATTCAAATCCTGTCGTTCCATTGGCCATGCGGCGATCAAAGCCAAGGAAGATATAATTGTCGAATCGTTCATTCCTGGCGTTTGTGACCATTATTTCCAGGCATGATGGGACTCGATTGTCTATCAATAAATAATGTGCAAGTTACGATGCCACACTCAAACGATGACGCATTTAGGAGCATGTCTGCTAAAAATAAAAATTGCCTTCCCTGGGACATCCTTTTCACACTTATGAGTGGGCTTATTTCCTCATACCACATGGTTCTCTGAAGGTCGTCAAAGTTGAAATGGTCCCTTCAAAGTGAATGTAAACACAATGAGCCTTTTGGTGTGCAGCCTTTTACTGGAAATTCTTTGCTTCGGGTTAGGCTGGTAAAAACAAACCGTGCATTTTGAAGTGCATGAACGCTTCATTATCACCGCACACTTTTGATCGCCAATCCAGACAAAGCTAACACCAACCGAGCTCCAGCTGAGATGATCGATGCCCTTATGTTGGGGACAAGGCTAATACCGCGAGGCTGCCACCTCTCAGATAATGACTCAAGCCGACTGGATCCGTCTTCCTCGGCCAGCATGGAACAAGGGGGGAGGGGGGGAGGGGTGGAAGGGAGCCGCCGACAACTACTTATGACGACAAAATGGACCGGGGCCAACCTGCAGGGGACTGGGTAGCGCGCGAGGCCGGCCAGTCGAGGCCGCCACACCGCGCCAACCTGCCCGGTTATGATCGTATTAGCACTTTGAGAGTGTATGGCAGGACCCCACTGTTCGGTCGATGGTGTCAGGTATCGAATTTATACAACAACTTCGAAAATGAGGGTCTCTAACGAATCAAAGCTGTCATAAACTTACAAAATTACGCTTTGGTGCAGAAAAGATGGAAAGTATGGCAATTTGATGATAATACCAACAATTCCGTTCTTCTTTATATCGCAACTTCGGGATAGTATTGCCTGCGTAATTCCGGTGTGACAAAAATAGGTTATGGTTGCGAGGTTATTAACATTTCATCTAACGAACTTTCGCCCGTCATTTTCTGACGTCATCGCAGACGGAAAACGACTGAGTGGAAAACGACGGAGCTCTAAAAGTTTCAGGATCATGAAGGGTGCACGAGATGGCGTCACAGACAACATGTTTTTTTTTTAGTGTGACTTAATCACACAACGCACACCACGCACGTTTTGCCAACCCCGAAAATGAAGTGGTCAAAATTTGGACACAAAAAGGGGGAGTGATTTCTAGTCATTTTTTCTTTGCTGCTCCCCGAGTTTGCAATTGTTCCGACACCCCTGGATGACACGGACACCAAAATTGCAGCAGCGTCTGCAATGGTAACAATATCGCAACTGGAGGAAAATCGACGCGGGGTAAAAAAGGAAATGGAAAGACATCCAACATGCAAGCTTGTGCTTGACCCACTTCAGCGAAGTTCTTTCCTTCTTTGACTTATCGAGCAGTGTGGTGCGACTTTAAGTCGATTCCGATTTCGTTTGATCGAATATGGATCGATGTTGGAATGTTCCCAAGGAAGTTGATGCCGGTAACAACAGTCTAGATAATTATCCATGCTGCGGGCTGCGTGCAAACCTAAAAATGCTTTTGTTGTTTTGTAACAGAGCCGTTAAATAATGCTGTTTTCGTTCAGTGCACATGTCAGCCATCAAAGTCAGTGCATCTAGTTGCTTACATTTATTCTTGAGCCAACTGAACAATGGCCTGGTTGACTTGACTCCGGCTTTGGCCGACATGGCAATCTGATTTTTTTCATCTTGACTCATCAAAAAGCTGGTGTATGTCAGAGCCTATTCCAGCCCGACCCAGACTCAGTAAGAGTGTGATGCGTTCTGTGATGATTTTGGTGCTCTCCTTGTCGTATTGACGATGGGACAAATTTCACGAATGTCTTAACTATCGCCGTCGCCCACGGCCCAGTGCTGACCATACGCGTTGGCATGCCCATGCACCAGCGGTCCGCGACGATACCACGGGCCTGACGTCCCGCCGCCACAGGGGATGCCAGTGCATGGCCACAGGTCAGCCGTGCATAAACACCAGAGCCGAGCGATGCACGTCGCCATCACGAGATCACACGACCCCGCCGAGGAGACACGT